CCCCCCTATAAGATATAGATACGTTCCAATTTATTAGGAATCCGATTTCTTACAAGTCGTTCCAATCACAGCCCGACACGTGTCAAGTTTACGGACTACGGCTGATTGAAAGGTTTTCTTCCATAAAATTAATCGATTCTACACTAATCCGGACTCAACATTTCCAAAATACGTATATTTTTTCGTAGTTTTATAGGAATCGTAATTATAGGGGGGTCGACTGTAATTTGTTGAAAACGTTGTGATTTGTGTAATCAACGAGAAGAATTTTATTTTAAACAAATTTTCAGAGTTCGAAATTATTTGAAGAACGCCGCAATTTAGTCTTTACAGTGGTTAACTAATTTCTGGACCACCCTAAATTAACACGTGCGCCTAGATCTCGGAATGGCTCAAAAATTTAACTGGTATACTTGTAAACGTGGAGTCAAGACCATTCCTCGGGTCTAGTGTGCGTATTTTTTTTTCATTCGAGTTGACTTGTAAATAAGTCGATAAGATGCGTTAAAGTTAAAATAGGAAAGTTTAATTTTAATTTAAATTCATTTTAAATTATAGTTTAGTTTATAGGCTTATTATTATTGATTTTTATAAATTTAAATATTTAGTAATTAAATATAAATTTTAGTAATGACAATGAATCAACCGTAGCCTATGTTGACATAATACTATACAGTACTTAAAATATCTAAAAATCAACGACGACAAAAATTATATAAAAGTTTGGTAAAAATGTTTATTCTTCTAAAATCAAGTGAGAAATTTTAATTAATTTTTAATTCTGTGTAAAAATATAGGCCCCACTATTAAATACTTTTTTTCATTAGTTTTATACGGAATTAAAAGTTTAAGTTTTATGTTTCATCTTGGCTATCCTGCTACGGACTCACAATAAGATATTGTAAATTTTGTTTTCGCCGATGCTTTTACACACAGCTTATTCAAGAAGAAAATTTTGGTTTTAAATTCATTGTCACGTATTTTAATTTGTATAGATAGCTAAGTACAGAAATGCATTAAAACACCCTATTAAAAGCAACACATCCTAAATTGTTTAAAAAGGAAAATAAAGAAAAAAAACACTTTCCGTGGATCAATACAGTCATATGTCATTATGGATAAAATCAGGTGGTTTTATATAGTATATAACGCAGACAGGTAGCTACGGTATTTTAAAACAGTAGCTGTTTTATGTTATGCAAATCTTTTTAAGAGTAAATCCCGCATCATACGATACTTAAAAAATTATATAAGATCCTAGCTATGATAGTAAAGGACAGTATCAAAATCAGGGCCTTGAAGCTAGGAATTCCTTCCTCTAGCCTTTCTTCAACAAGATCCTCTCGGTTTAATATTTCTTCCTGTCTCTATCTCTAGCTACTGAAATTATGTAAATTGATTTTTTTAGATTTTATAATTGAAATTTTGTTATACAGATTCCGGTCCGGAACCAGGATATAGAACTTCCCCTTCCTCTTGCCGGCCAGTTTTGAGTGCTGGATCCAGATCGCACATCGATAAATATGTATTTATCTGCAACTGAGTCTTCTAAAAGCGCTAGACCCTAAGCAAAGATCTAAAGATCTAGATTGCCTATTGATCGGTCAATTCTTCCCCAAGAAGCTGATGCCCGATAATTCTTCCTGAGACACTTCTACCTCAAACAATTTATTCAGGATATTTTTCACACAATCCTTCTCTCCAAAAGTTCAGACAGTTTTCTTCTATATATATTTCTCCAGATTATTATTTTCCTAAATCTTTCGCAACAAATTGTTGTCCTATTTATATAACTCTATTAATATTATATTCCCTTTCAGGAATATATAGATTATACCAAAAAATAGCAGTTGATTAAAAATATTTTTGGGAGATAAATTCGCCGATCACAATCGACCTGTTGGCGCCATTCGGATAGGAAGTATAGAATATTGGTTCATTTAATTTATATCAATCATTATATTCCAGGGGGAAAATAGATTTTTATTAAGACAACAAATTTCTGTAAATTTTTTTTATCGAATATTTTTAAGCAAGTTTATTTTTGTATTCATTAGGATTATAAAATAAATACAGTATTATTATTATACTATTATATTTAAATACGATATAACTTTGAATTGCAAAATTCTATATACAGTTTTTAAGTTATAAGTTTTATGCAAAGCATTAACACAAATATAAGCTATATTATCAATCGAAATCACAAAAGTTTGAAGAGATGAAATATTTTTAGAAATTTTCTTAACTAGGAATACACCGATCGTAAAGAGTGCGCCATGAATAAAAGTGTTTGTTCCAAAATGTTTCGATTAACATTTTTGTACCATATTTTACTTAAAGAGAAAATAAAATCTGTTTCAGAAATGATATACTGTACATCTTTAAAAATCTGTTGCAAAAAAGCTCATTCAAAAACGATAGTATCTCAAATATTGCGGGATTATTAAAGAAAAACGTTTACGTCTTCTGCAGATATAATTTAAAATAAAATCATTATTAAAAATCACTATTTACACTAATAAACAAACGAATAACTTCAAAAAAGTTTAAATGAAGTAAACCGCTTCTTATCTGCATCGACAAATATTATATAAGTAAGGCGGCTTTTTACATTATTTATTGTTCTTGGCAAATCATATATTATAGTTAGTAAAAAAAATATGTTTGGCTCAAACGTATTTTATAAATATGTTTGGTTCTTTGAGCCAAACATATTTTATAAATATATATAGGCCTATATATATATTTATAAAATAAGCAATCAGCGTATTAGCGTGGATGTGAAAAATATTAGACAGTATTATCATTTTCAACTGAACTCTATCAATTTTCTGAGTGTTCAATGAAATAAAATATCAAAAAATTATAAATATTTGTTAATTATATATGTACGTTTGTTGCGACATTTGTATATGAGGTAAAGAGTGTTTCTCCACTTTCGATACGACAGATTAAAAACATTATTTATACGAGGAAAAATATTAAAACAATATAGACTATTGTCATGTTATGTCACAACAGGTTAAATATTAAGATATCAAATTTATATAAAAAAGACTATGCTTTGATTATTATCTTTCTCTAAAAAAAGAAAATTCAGATTACGCAACGACTTGATCGTCAATCGATTCATAATATTGAATTACGTATTTATATAAATACATTAAAACAATCATGTTCTTACGTAATTATGGAGAAAAAAATTATTCCTGTAACAAGTGAACTGTTCATCTTAATGATTTATCACTAAATCAATAGTTTGTCATTAAATCTTTGAATTATATAGCGATTCTATGATTTTCTATCATGTTACTCGAAAATAAACTCGTAGCTTTCGCTCCAAACTTGACATATTTCAATCGTTTTATGTAATCTTATACTAGTCTTAGAAATGATCAATATATCTTAGAAGTGATAATGGCAACTGTTAGCAACCCATTAACTATAGTATAATCTTCGATTGCAATATTCCAAAGCAATATATAGAGAACGTCGAAGGGGAGCATGTATCTGATCTTAAGCCGCCATTATTCTGACAAAAAAACAAGACAAGGTTACTTCAGATGGCTATAGACAAGGTCATTTTAGCTATAAAAAGGAAATGTCGGCTATCCTTTAAGCCATAATATAAAAGAAACAAGGAAGAAATACCTCAAAGTTGCAATATTCAGATAATTATATTTAATTAAACACAAAATAATACATCAGATAATGTATTATTGAACAGAAATAAGTTATCTTTCAAGCTAACATGTATAATCCTTAATAACGATAAAATCAAATACTATATTTTATTACATCGATTATTATAATCGGTAAATTAAAAAATTGATATATTTTTTAAAATATTTATNAGCACTTCTTTCTGATTTGTAAATCGACTAATTACAAAGGTTTTACTTCATTTTACTCATAGGAATGTTGTTTTTAATATTTAACAGATAGTTTTGTTGGATCTTTACATATTAATTTAATTTTTAATATTTAAAGAAAATTTAGAGATTCGAATCAGTGAAATATGCTTAGATATAGCTGAATACTAATTTATAACATGTATGTATACAGAGTACGTTGGTAAATCAAAATTATCCTAACATACTTAAGTACGGTAATTAAAAGACAAAAACAACTACTTTTTACGATATATTTCGAAAAATAAATCTCTTATTTCAAAATAAATAAACTTACCTTTTTAACTTTTTCGCCAAAATAATCTAAAATCGGTTGAGTATGTGAGTGAAATGTTTTCAGCCGACTTCTAATGGTTTCTTCATTATCATCCACTCTGCCACTAGTTTCACCTCTTTTTAATAATCTTTGTGTCATCGTATCGTCAGAAACATCAAAAAATAACAAATAAGCGCATTTGCATACCTAAAATTATTTTAAAATATTTTATTAGCTTAATATAAAAACTTTATTCTTAATTTTTTTAATAATTAAAAAGCTTACTTCTTTTTCAAATTGTATAGCTTGGTCCACTTCTCTTGGATAACCGTCTATTAAGAAACCCTTTGATGTATTTAAACGTTTCACAATAGCATCTTTCAGAAGTAATAACACTTGCTCCTGTAATTTTCCATTAAATATATGATAATTTGTCCCCAAAATTTTATACAGGGTGGCCCAAAGTCAGTTAACGGTACTTTGTTTTTTTTTGTGTGTGTACGAATACAAGTTGTAATAAACTGAGGTTGGAACATGTTTGGTATATAAAATTGACGGAGTTTACATCACTAACAAGTTTGTAAATAATAAAATACAGTGGTGCCTCGTATAACGTACGCCTCGAATAACGGACGCTGCGAATAACGGACTTTCTGTTTGACCGTTACGTGACTCGAGCAACGGACTTGCTGCGAACAACGGACTTTCCGTTCGGCAGTTACGTGAGACGAACAATGGACTTTTTTCGAACAAGTGCGAATGATGTTTTCACTCTTTTGCCGATGCCAATGACAATCTGCTATTTGTAGGATATATTAGTATTATTAGAATGTATTATTAGTATATCTGAAGTAGAAATGTAATGTAATATATGTTGATGATTTAAATAAACATTAAATGTAATGTAATA